CTATGAGCCATTCCCTTGATGTAAAGGTCTCTCTCTATAGAGACACATACGTAGGCATCCCTGATTTGCTCCTATAAAGAACGCGACCCAAGATAAGAGGATTGGCAATAGAAACAGGACCCACTGGGAGGACGTGCAGAAGGGATGTTCCTCTGCAGGCAAGCCATCGATGAGGTCAAACAAAGTGGACATGAATCGCTAGGTGGAAAACGGATGTGCTCTATAAACCTTCACCCAAGTCACATTAAAAACGTTGTAAATGAGAATGAGCACATCTTGGTTAAAAGGTCAGTCACAACATATAAACACCAAGTCTTCAGCAGTCCCGGTCCAGGCTTCCTTACCTATGTCTTTGTCCATGGCCCTGGCCATCTCCGCAACAGTCATTCCGAGCCAAGCCTCCACCTCCTTCCTAGATTTGCTCAGGGAGGAAGGGGGTTTCCGTGGCTTTCCTTCCTAGGAAAAATGTTGTCGGGCACACAAAGAAAGGAGGAGAAAAAGTGGGAATGGAAACTCTGATTTATTGTGGAATGTGTACAACCACAGCTCCTATTTCTAATAGATAACACTCCTCTAAGAAGCTATAGCTAAGACCACGTTTTAAAACCATATATTTAATTCACTGTTGGCACCTTGATATTTAAGAAATCAAATTCATCGGCAGTACCACACAACTGACAGGAACTTCGTCCCCAACAAAGACCAACTGCCTAGAGCAGCAGTTCTCAACCTGGGGGTCGCGACCCCTTTGGGAGTTGAATTACCCTTTCACAGGGGTCACCGGATTCATAACAGTAGCAAAATTACAGTTATGAAGTAGCAACAAAAATAATTTTAGGTTTGGGGGGGTCACCACACATGAGGAATTGTATTAAAGGGTTGTGGCATTAGGGAGGTTGAGAACCACTGGCCTAGAGTATAGCACTAAAATAAAGATTTCATAAAGATTCTTTACAGAACAAAATACTCAGAACAGATTTCTACTTCTGGCTCAAGATATTTCTTCTTCTGGCTCACTTCAAACAAACAAACAGCAACAACAAAAATGTAGCCAACGGCAACTCTCCACTGCGGGGCACGCACGCTCCTGCGACAGACCTGGACACCTGTTCTCACCTTCTTCGTTACCAGAAGCCGGTACTGAGAGAAAGCAGCCCTGAGGAGTGCATCTCTTGGCCAGGGTGGGGAGACCAGGGGAGCTGTCCACGCCGGGTACCCGGATGAACACACACGCCTCCACTGCCCCGGTGCTCTTCCTTGTCCCAGGCTGGGCAGCTGCCTACAAATTGTGTGAAATCGCAGCAGGTTTTCCAACTTCAGCATCTTCTGGTTCATGTTTCTCTATTAAGTACACTTAAACAAGAAAAAAAAAAAGATGGGTTATTCAAATCAAGTTAACAAATACTGTTAGTGTTGTTAGGCGAAGCGTGATGGCAGGGACGAGAGGTACAGCAAAGAGCAAGCCTGGGCGCCTGCCTTGAAAGGACTCACAGAGCAGTCACCAACAGGATTCCATGTGAATGTGCTGTAGATATTAGCGACTGACAGCGTGAATCTCTACCATGACAGAACTGAAATCTACTGATAGGGATTGTAAACGTTCATTTTTCACTCTTGTAGCATCAACTACCCAAAGCACAACTAGAGTAAGGTGTCCCGCTTTTGGCGGGACAGTCCCGGTTTTTAACAATTTTTCCAGCATCCTGCGGCGTTTTTTAAAAGTCCCGATTTTTGGAAAGAACGCACAACAAGCTAGGGTATACGGTTTTCGGCTGCCATGTGGCTATTTCGCCAGGATATGAGTTTTATCAATGGTCTCCCGCTTTACCAATGTTAAAATCTGGTCACCTTAGTCTAAGACGCAAATTTGAACTCGACACTCCTCTGAACAATACCCTCAGTGGGGCATGGCATGTGCAGAGCCATCACCACAGGGCGCAGGGGCAGTGGGTTATTTACTGTGACCAGCCAGCCAAAGTCTCGAACTCCCACCAGACGGCCTTTCCCTGCATGGCTCTGGTGAGAAGGTGGGGGAAGATACTGAGAGGATTCCCCTGTGAGTAACTGGGAAGCGATTCCCAGCAATGCCATCCTGCTGCATATGAAGTAAGCGCTCTTAGAAGCAGGGGGAGGGATCATCTTACCAGCCAAGAGCTAGGAGAGGAGGAGGTCTCCTGACCTAGGACCCGGGGCCAGAAGACAGCTATGGCCTCAGGGGAGTGGTTCAGAGTGGTGGACTCCCCCACCCACGGGACACGTAACACTGAGGGCTGTGTGCAGAGGCGGGCTTGCAGAGTGAGGGGCTTCTGGGCACTTAGCGGGGAAGCTGGGCTTGCTGACCCACTGAAGTGGAGCCAGTGCCTTCAGGAGGAGCCTTACTGGAGTGGGATGCCTCTGGGCCCTGAATTCAGAGAGCTGGGTTTGCTGACCAGCGAGCTTCAGCTGGATGCCTTCCGGTTGAGGCTTACTGTGGAGTGGTGTGCCCCGCAGGGCATCTAGTAGCAAACCTGGAAGAACTCTGTAACATGCCCTGATAGACAACTCAACCCTGAGCATTTCGCACGGGCATGACCACTTGCTAGCTTCCTTAATAATCCCTTTAATCGTGAATTTTGTCTGTGAGTTCTGTGTAGCCATTAAAATGGAAGATTCGAACCCAGAGACTCCTGATTGGGACAACTCACAGGGGTCTTCAAACCATTTGTGGAGAATCCCTAACTTCGAATTCAGTTTTCCAGGAACTTCCGGAAGGCTCCTGGCTTTCCTTCTGCTACCTCACTTAATCTCTCACCATGTTCGTCTGCCCTCCCTGTAACCGCCCAGCCTTTGCTGCTCGGTCCCAAATGTAACTGAATGGTTTGTCAACGACCTTCTGAGCCTTTGCATAGGCTCCCTCTACGCGGACTGTCTTTCAGCCGACGCTTTCCCTCTCTCCAACCTGCATTCTACCCCCACAGACCCTCCCCGTGGGCAAAAGGCACCAAATACATGTTGAATGATCCTTTAGAGAGTCTGCCTTGAAAGAAGCTGTGTCAAAAGGAGACTCAGAGAACTCAATGGTGAAACAGATCTTTTCCTGCCCGGGTCTGCAGTCATCAGGGCTGCATTTCCAGGCTCTGCTGTCCAGGTTTTCAGTGCAGGAGCAACAGAAATAGCGAGAAAGCCTGTGCTTAATCTTCAGCAAACGCTTCCTAACCGTCACAGGCATCGTGCTTGACGCTTTGATTCAAAGCTCAAAAGTCCTTTCTTTCCAAGTCCGCTGTCTTTCTACTCTTCCAGCGTAAGGATCCCAGGCACCCTCAAAACAGGGGCTGTTCCAACCTAGGGTCGCATTTTCATTGCATTAATATGCATAAGTCTTACATAAATGATAGAGATGCTAAGAGATTTCCTTTTTAATCCAAAGTGAAAAACAGCATCTTTCAGATTCTTCAATAATATAAACCTGTTTCTACTCGCCATTCAGAATAACCTCACTTCACATTTTAATACATGTATTTTCAAGCCTATTCTTTATCTACTTTACTTACTACAATGAAATCACACTATATTTGCTATTTTAAAACTTTCTTCACTAAATAATATATTGTGAACCTTATTTTATATTAATAACCATTATTTTTCAAAGTTACATACAAAAAACTATAGACTATTTTAGAGTGATTAATCAAACTAAGGCTATCTTGAACAAAGTACCATGTACATTGTCTTAATTTTTAAAAGTTTTTCTCATGATGTAGTCTTCTATGATACTGATTTTTGTTTTTCTGCTAGATTTGTTTTCTTTTTAATTGCTCAGAAATAATAGTCCTTTGATACAGCCAAAGAAACCAAAGCTTTAGGACAGGTGAGTTTTCCTGGATAGCTGAACACTAAATTAACCTATCTTTCCAAAACGTATTTTGCTCTCCTGATGCAGCACAAAAGATATGCTGAATATAGATAGCTAGGTAGATAGATATGGATAAAAAGACATAAAAGATAACTGAAGGGCCACAGTATAATGAAGCCAGTACCTGATGGGGCAACAAAGGATGCTGGTGTGAGTCCCGGCTCTGACATGCATCTGCTTATTTTATCTTCACTAAACAAGTCACTCGCTGCCCATGGGCCTCCTTTTTCTGATCACTGGAAAAGAGAAAGTAGGCAAGTGAATATCTGTCCTTGCTGTGACAAGACTATGACAGAGAAATAAATAAGGCGTATGCAATGCTATCATCCACTATTTTCGAAACTGTGTCACATAAGATTTGAAAGAACAAAGTGCCCCGGAATAAATTTAACTAGGAAACGGAAAGATGTTTACTTTGAAAAATGTAAAACATTGCTTAAAGAAGTGAAAGAAAACCTAAGTAAATGGAAAGACATTCTGCGTTTGTGTCTTGGGAAGCGTAATATTGGTAAGATGCCATCGTTACCCAAAGTCATCTATAACTTCAATGCAGTCCCCACCAAAGTCTGAAAAGCCTTCTTTGCAGAAACGGGCACACTCAGTTATATGAAATGGCAAAGGTCTGCCAATAGCCACAGAGACCTTAACAAGAATAAATAGGGACTCACATATCCTGGTTTCAAAACATACCACAAAGCTACAGTAATCAAAACAGCTTGGTAATAGTATTGGTAGAACTGGATAGAATTGAGAATCCAGAAATAAAATCATATACCTATGATCAACCTTTTTTCCAACAAGGGTGCTACATCCATTCAATGAGGCAAAGATGATTCTTTTAATAGATGGCACTGGAAAAACTGGATTTCTACAAGCAAAAGAATGAAGCAGGATCCACAGCTCACACCACTTACAAAAACTAATTCAAAATCAATCAAGGCCCTAAGTGTGGGAACCAAATTCAAGATACTGTTAGGAGGAAACATACTGATTTGGAACCTAGTTGTCACAGCAGAGTCTTAGAGGTAACACTAAAAGCAAGGGCTCCAAAAGATAAAACAGATCGCATGAAATTAAAAAACTTTGCTCACCACAAGATTTTATTTACGGGAGGGGGGAGCGGGGAGGGAGGGGAAAAATGAGGACCTAATGTCGGGGGTTTAAATGGAGAGAAAATGTTTTGAGAAACGATGTACAAATGCGCTTTACACAATTGATGTGTGTATGGATTGGGATAACAGTTGTATGAGCCCCTAATAAAATGTTAAAAAAGAAAAAAAAAAAGATTTTATTTAAAAAAAAGATTTCATCAGCAAAGTAAAGAGACAAACTACAGATTGGGAGAAAAAGAAGAGGAGCTTTGTGTCCGGCCAAGGTTAACTATCCAGATTACTGTATATCGAGAACGCCTGCCACCGAACAGCAAAAAGGCCAACAGCCCATTGAGTAAAGGCCAACAAGCCACAGAAAGATGCTCAACAGCACTCATCAACAGACACACCCCAACCAATCAACCACGGCTCCTGGCACCCCCTGGGCTGCAGGATGGAACCAATGCTCTGGCGATTTTCTCCGCTGTGATACTGCAGACCTTTCTTCCGCGGCTCCACGGGGTGGGCTTGAATTGACAACATTTAGGTTAGCAGTCAGGGACCACCTGTTTGGACCACCCAGTCTTTTAATTGGCCGTTGCTGAGATGCAAATAAAGCTAAGAGACCACTTCACCCCACAAGAACGGCCATCATTTAAAAAAGGACAATGAAAAAATAAAAAAGGGCAGCAAGTGGTGTTGAAGAAAGTGGAGCCCTCATCCAAGACGGGTAGGAAGGCAAAGTCGTCCAGCCACTTTGGAAAACCGTTTGACAGCTCTTCAAATTGCGTATGGTCCAGTAATTCCAACCCAGGTACAGGGGCCCACAGAAAGCAGCAGCACAAGGGTGTGCCCCGGGGGCACTGCAGCGGCCCTCAGGACAGCCTGAGGTGGAGGCCCCATTATCAAAAGATAATAGATAAATAGTGTCACACAGATACAACGGCCCGACTCAGCGCTCAGAGAAAGTCCTGACACACGCTACGCCAGGGACGACCCTGGAAACACGCTCTCAAAGTGGGCAAATACTGTGTGACTTCACTTACATGACGTCAGCAACTGTCCACAGACCGAGGCTGCATGAGGAACAGGGCTCAGGACACGGATTCTTCAGAAATCCCTTTAAAAATGCATCTGAAACCAGGCTTAACAGGCTATAGCTACGTGGAATGGGTGGAAGGACCCCACAAGCTGATTCACCAAAGTACAAATGGGTAACTGGCGCAGAAATGAGAAAAACTCATGGAGGGCGATAACCCACAAGCCCGAACTGGAAATGAACAGCTTTTATTTATTCCTAGCGCCTCGTCTTGGAGAAAGAACAAGTGCAGTTCTGAGAGGTCAAAAGAAGGGCTAGGAAGGGCAGTCCGCTGCTAGGACGCTTTTGTCAAAGAATCGCGGGGGAGGGGAGGAGGAGACGGAGTTCCTTCCGTTCGTGGAAATGTCTGAAGGTGAGAGTGGGAAGTCTCGGAATTCCTCTGCGAGCAAAGGGTCACTGTGGGGAGGGGGAAAAGACAGATGGGCGGCACCGAGGGCGCAGGCCTGGGCTTGGCAGGACAGACGGGGGACCGGCGCCGGCCCCGCACGCTGTGGGAGAGCGAGCTGCTTTCGGGAACGCATCCGGGAAGGACGCGTGACACTGGGGAACTCCCCAGAGCTGGCCCCTGACACTGGACTCCACGCCACGAGCGCCCCCAGGGCGACCCGACTCACTTCGCGCTTCCGCGACGCATGCCGGCATCTCAGCCCCCAGGCCGGGCGGAAGCACCTTACTGGACCGCGTGAACTGCGCCCCCGACCTATTCCCGCCGGACTTCCGGCTTCACCGGAAGCGAGTCTTCCCCGAATTCCGAAGTCCCGCCTCCGTCGCTGGAACTGACAGACACATCGCTACCGGAACTGCGCCTGTTTCCGCTGCCCTGACGGACTTCCGGTGGGGCAGAAGCCGGAACCCCGTGACCTCTCAGACTCAGCGGCTGTCGTTAGACGCCTTTGCGCGTCCGTTGCCTACAGTGAAAGTGGCTGCTACCCCGAGTCTGGGGGGGGCCTGGAAGCCTGCACGCGCGTGAAATGTAAATGGGTGTTGAAGGAGCGCTACGTGCACACTTACCTTGCTCAGGGATCGGGGGAGCCCTGGTGACGGGTGGATCACGCAGTGGGCTGCTGGCCCCGGGGTCGGTTCGGAACCAGCAGCTCGGCTGGAGAAAGTGGCTCCACTCTCGGGAGCCCGGGGCGGGGACAGCGCTGTTGCGTCCCAGGAGTCGAATCGACTCCTACCAACTCCTTCGTAGCACCTTCACCCCACCCACCGCGATCCCAACCCCGCCCCCTCCCCGCCCGGGGGCTGAACGGCAGTCCTGGTGGGTTCCGAGGACTCCCGGGCACTGTCTCCCCCACGCCCGGTTCCGAGGCTGCAGGCCGCCGGGGAGCGGCGGTGGCTTCGCGGGGCCTAACCATTGTGCTACCAGGGCCCCTTCCACTGGGCCGTGGTGGCTGTGAGGTGCCACAGCAGAATGTTTAAATAGGTTTAAATGAGCTTTCAAACTACACCGTCGCTGTGAGGGTTTGCTGTTGGGATTATTACAGTCGTGTCCGCTCCATGGCTTTCCCAGAACTTAATCGAACGTTGTGTCTTTTTCCCATCTTCGCCACCACCACCTCTCAAAAGTAACATGGTGTTTTATTCAAGTGAAACACTGCCCAGTATAGAAAAAATTCTTAAGATAGATTTATCTCCATCCCATTTTCCTGGCCTCCTAATTCACCGTCAACAGCAGCTACCTACCCACCCACCCCCACTCCTGCCTCACACAGGTGTTGCGGAAGCCGCTCTCCTGAAAACCTTGTTCATGGAACCTAACCACCCACGCGTTCCAATCACGACCATGTTATCCACCACTCACGAGCATCTACTGATGTCTAGAATCAGCAGGAGGCACTTCTTTGCTGTCTTTGACTGGATTTGCAAGCAGTTAAGATGCAGAAATTGGTTTGTTGATTTTTTTTAAGAAATACTATTGAATCAAAATAGTAGTCACATCTTTCCCAGCGTAGTAAACAATACTGTCAGTCTTCTAATCACAGTGACAGTAAATACTTGCTGAGTAGGCGTTCCACTTGATACAGATACAAGGGCGTGGCTCACCGGGCAAAAGATGGGACAGAGGTCAATCTGAAAGCACTCCCCGTGCCCAAAGCTGAGAAGACTGAGCAGCAAAACAGCAAGGGTGTTGGGTTATAATCCAGAATAGTAAATAATCGTGAATCCATGCTGATGTACGTAAATGACTGAATACACATGTGAGGGGGAAACGGGATACATACTCCTTACAGAGATTCCAAATAACAGCTATTGCCTCATGTAAGCCCCTCCCTTAACGGGAGGGACTGAGTGACTCCTAAGGACTATAGAGAGGCAGAAATGGAAGCTGCTTGAAGCTGCTTTTCCGTGGCGAACCCTGGCATGCAGATGATAGCATGTGCCTTGATGTGACACGATAAGAAGGACATTTTACCTCTGAAGGCGATCTCCGTGAAAACCTGCAGCCCCACTCGGGGTACAAGGTCCACATCTGCCGGACCCTCATTGAAGACCATCCTATAAAACATCCTTCCAGGAGTCTTCAAAACTGCAAGGTCATGGAAAAGAAGAGAAGGGCACGACCACGGATCAGAGCCGACTGAGGAGACAGGATACCTGCCAAAGGCGATGTGCCCGGCCTGAGTCTAGCAACAGAAAGACACCAGTGGGGCGCTAATGAGAGCTGAATACGCTGGCTAATTGTAACATGTCAAAATCAACTGCTTAGTATTGACACGCCTGCCATCGTTCACGTACCACATCGGAATCCGAGGACACTAGGGGAGGATATTCAAACTGTCTTCACCACCTCTGAAACTTTTCTGAACTTACTCCTATTAGACGTTCATTACGAAAAAATGAAACACACCCTGAATTCCACCCCTTTGGAATAGCCAATGGAATGATTTGGGTGAACATCATTCCACTTTTTTCTATACATAAAGGCACCTACAAAGATACTTTTATATAGATGGGATTCATACAATATACACTGATTTTTAACCTTTTAATAATACAAAGTCATGAAAATGAATGTGGAGCCTCCTCATTCTTTGTAAAGACTGAAAACGATGCCCTTGTCTGAGTAGTTGAACATTGGTAGTAATAGAGATATTTTTAGAATATCTCGTGGTGACAAACAATGTTTCGGTGAGCATCCCTGGGCATGCCGCCTCTGCATCCCGGTGCCTCCCTTTCTCTGTTCCCTCCAGGAGAAAGCTCTTTTTGATTGGGGATCTGGGTGTTGGGTGTGCTTATTGTCAGTGAGGTTACTTGGTTCCCAGGCACACTCAGTGGACAGAGCAAGTTCCTGTTGACATCTCCAATCCCAATCTAATACCATAGCGTTTATTTAGGTTTTTCCCTTTCTGTACCTAAAATCTAGCTCCCACCAGCCTTCATGTACATCAGTATTGATCATCCCCCTCCATGAAACCATCTCCAGTCTGGTACATCAGTATTGATCATCCCCCTCCATGAAACCATCTCCAGTCTGGGCACCAACCTCTCACCGAGCTCCAGACCTCCTCGTCCCGCTCACCTGCTGACACAACGTCAGCCACCCTTTCTGGTGAACACCGACACCCCTCAAGGGACACCACGATGCCCTCTCCCCACACACAACTACACTTGTCTGTCTGGCCACCCGCTAATGGCTAATGAAGTATTTTTAAACATGGAATTTTGAAGAAATAAGTTACTTTGTGAGAAATAAGTTAATAAGTGCATAAGAAATATAAGCAATAAGTTAATGAATAAGAAATGAGTTAATTTGTGCAACCTGTTAAAAACACTAAACATTATAATGTAAAAAGAACAGATTTTGAGGAAAAATATTGAATATAAGTTTTGTTTCAAATTACGGTGACTTTTCTTTTCCTTAAGTTTTGTATTACCCAGAAGATGTAGAAATCCAGTATTTTTAAACATTGTTAAAAGATTTAAAAGAAACAAATTTAAAAGAAATTTAATTTAAAAGAAAATTAACTCATGCAACCCACAATTTAAAGAGAACACATTAAAAAAATAGAACATTCTGGGGGTGTGGAATATTGAATATAAGTTTTGTTTCAGGCAGAAGCGGCTTTCGTTTTAGAGAATGCAAAAATCTAGTAAACTGGAGAGGGGGCTTGAAAACACTGCCTTAGGCTGTGATAAGGCAAATCAAGTCCCATTTCCAGTCTGATTAAATAAACGTGTGTCCCCAAATGGCTGCGAACGAATACAACAAAAGGCAAAGGCTGTAGCGCTAAGGGCATGAATAAGAGGAATCTCAGAAATACCACAACAGCAACAGGGAAAGTTTGGCTGGAACTTGAAGCCCATTCAGTCGTCCTTGTCTTTGGCTCCCCATTCAGGGATCCGTGTGAGCTCAATGTAACTGAGAGTCCCCTTCTGGCAACAGCTGTTTCTCTCTGGGCTCGTTGGCTTCCTCACCCAAGAACCCGCCACGGAGGTTGTCAGCCCCTCTCCCGGGTCATCATCCTGAACGGTGCCAGTGGCTTCTTCCATCAAAGCACGCAAAGGCGCTTTTGTTCTGTCCCATTTAGCTTCTCCCCAGACATGGTAACAAACACACGGACATTGGTGGGGCCTGGAGCCTCATTCCTCAGCATCCAAATATTCAGCAGTTAGAGTTCCCCCCGGGAGGCCAGCACACCATGCAAATTTTTCTCATCGATTTTCCTGATCAATTATATTGAAGGCCTCTGACCTCGTTGTGGCAGTTATATAAGCATTTGTCAATTTGAGGATTAAGAAAGTAGGGGTGGAGTCTAGGCTGTCAATCTGGAGATAGCCAATGAGACTTCTGGGTGGGCGTGGCATTCTCCTGAGAATTCTGGGAACTCTAGTACTTCCTCCTTGGAGGCAAAAGACACTTCTCTCTCTCTGCCACTCCCTGGGAGACACTGCAGAAGACAAGCTACATGGATGCAACCAGACCTTGGAAGCCGGGGAAGCCACAGAGAGACCCCTACCAGTGCTGAGATGCTTACAACGCCACTGGATCCAAAGACTTTCTACCCACTTGTGACTTGTGATCGTCCCGCATTTGGCGTCATTGCATGTGTTTCATGAGTCTGAAGAGGGCTTTGTGGATTAGTATCAGACCGGACATATGAGCTAATATCAGACTTATGGCCTTGGACTGGCAGGGTTGGGGTGTTTTCTTAATGTACAATTGCTCTTGTATATAAACCTCTTCCTTATACACATATGTGTGTCCATGGATTTGTTTCTCTAGTCTACCCAGACTAACACACTCATGAATCTGTGACTGGTCAAATATGGCACACACGTTGGATGGTGCACACTGAGGGCGCTTCTTGGTGACCCTAGTCTTTGTCCCTGTTAAGTGCTGTCAACTTGGCTCTGACTCAGACTGTGGTCAGAGACACCACAGAAGGAAACACTGCCCAGTCCTGCACCATCTTCGCAATTGATCCTATGCTGGAGCCCATTGTTGCAGCCACTGTGTCAGCCCATCTGGCCAAAGGCTGTCCTCTCTTGTGCTGTCCCTCCCCTTTACCAAGCAT